TAAGAGTCCTTAATAGGGACTATAGTACCGATTATCATCCCATGTAGGACCGCTAGTATAAGGCGGAACATCCGAACTTGCGTGACGTACGCAGTCCTGCTTCTGGTAGTGCGGGATGTTATAGAGGTCATTCATGATGTCACCATTCGCAAACCGGTCCACCATGACGCTGTAGACAACCTGTGCCAGAACTCGGAAGCATGGTAAACCCTAAACCCTTAACCCTAAACCCTGAACCCTAAACCCTAAACCCTAAATCCTAAACCCTAATTCCTTTCAGTTCTGCACTGCCCTTGCGGAGGTTGCTCCAAAGTCAAGGGCTTAACTGCGCAAAAGACGATGGCTGCAGAAAAGAACTTGACCCGACGAACGGGCATTGCAGCGAAGAAGTGTAAATGGAGCACTACTCTGGGAAGAAAACACCCTAAACCCTAAACCCTAAACTCTAAAGAGGAGCCTCGTTCCTCCAGTCTTTTGGCGACCGCATTCGGCGCAAACCTGCTTCCCCAAACCTCAGGCAACAGATTCAGAGTTTAGGGTTTAGAGTTTAGGGTTTAGGGTTTAGGGTTTAGGGTCGCGCCAGCACGTCCTAGGACATTTAGATGCCACGCCTTTTCTCGTTCTCAAATGTGCCCAGCTCAGCTATGCAAGAGAGCAGGTCTGAAGCGAAGCGCATCTTCCCAAGCACATCGCCGTGGAGGCTCAGCTGTACAGTGGCAGCGCAGGCCCTTTGCATTCCCCGGCAGCTACGGCTCCGGATTCGGAGAAACCAGCAGACCCTTAATAGGTACCCTCAAACCCCTAAGCCCTAAATCCCTAAGCCTTCTCAGAAGAGGATCTCTACATCCCTCAACCCTCAACCCCCAAACCCCGCCTGAATCTGCAAACCCTAAACCCGAAACGCTGCCAAAATCTCTAAGCCCTGAACCCTAAACCCTAAACCCCAAACCCTAAACCCCAAACCTACACCCCAAACCTTAAACCTCCCCCTAAATCTCTAAACCCTAAGCCTCAGCGAGTCAGCGAAAGGCCCGCGCAAGCCACACCCTCCTACCGGCGGACTGCACAGCGGCGGCTCGGGAAAGCGGCTACCCGGCCCTTGCTTCTGGTTAGAGCTTAGTGTTCAGGGTTTAGGGTTTAGGGTTTAGGGTTTAGGGTTTGGGGTTTGGGGTTTAGGGTTTAGGGTTTAGGGTTTGGCTTAGGATTACAGGGTTTGGGGTTACAGGATTTAGGGTAAAGGCTTTGGTCCACAACAGGGTTGAGTTCGGGTGTAGGGTTTACCAGGCAGTAATCATCTACTGGCATGTAAGGCATCAAACCGAACGTTTAGGGTACCCTAAACCCTACAACAAACCTTACCTCAAACCCCTAAACCCTCAGCCCCTAAATCCCAAAAACCCAAAACCCTAAACCCAAAACACCTAAACCCTAGACAAACCCTAAACCCTAAACCCCAAAAACTAAACCCTAAACCCCTACAGCCCTGTACCCCAAAACATGTTCCAAACGCACATGGCAAGAGCCGGAAGCCAGCGCGGGAGCAGCTCTGGGGGGCGGGGGGGGGGGGGGGGGGGGGGTTGCCTCGAAAGTTAGGGTTTAGAGTTATTCCGACCCCAAGCAGAAGCTCAGCAATGCTAGGGTGGGAATGAAAGGAAGGGAAAAGGGAAACCAGAAGGGAGTCCCGACCCTGAACGCAGAACTCGCTTAGCACAGCTCTTCCCCAGGGTAACCCCCGCAGAAGCACTCTGCGGGATAACCCTACGCTCCTTTTCTCATCTTGAGCCAAAATAAGCATCAGCAGGTAAGGTTAGACAACTGCACAACATGACTTTACATGAGGGAAGCTCGTGTTTCGTCAACTTTTTTAAGGTTTAGGGTTTAGCAGTTAGGGTTTAGGGTTTCGGGTTTAGGGTTACAGTACAACCCCCCCCCGGACGAAAGCGCCAAAAACTCAACCGAGGAATCCCACGAGCTCCGGGGCACCGAAGCTTCCTGAAGGCTTTAGGGTTTAGAGTTTTAGGGTTTAGGGTTTAGGGTTGAGGGTTTAGGGTTTAGGGCTTTGGGGAGTTGGGGTTTAGGTTTTAGGGTTTTAGGGTTGTAGGGTTTGGGATATAGGATTTTAGGGTTTAGGGTTTAGGGGTTTAGGTGGTTGGGCTTTAGGCTTTAGGCTTTAGGCTTGAGGCTTTAGGGTCTTTCGGGTTTAGGGTTGAGGATGTAGGACTCAACCCAAGTCCCGACGGGGTTCAGTGTGTAGGGTTTCCGGCCTTTAGGGTTGAAAGCCTGTAGGGCTGAGGGGTTTAGGGTTTCGGTTTTAGGGTTTAGGGTTTAGGGCTTAGGGCTATAAGTCCTTTAGGGTTGCCCTGGGCTGTGGGATACCTCTCACTCCCCCAGCGTCAGGAAGAGGCTGGGGGACGCAGCACGAAGCCGGGCTTGATGCGAAGCCTCGGTGGAAAAGGGTTTAGGGTTTAGGGTTTAGGGTTTAGGGGTTAGGGGTTTGGGGTTTGGGGTTTGGGGTTTGGGGTTTGGGGTTTGGGGTTTGGGGTTTGGGGTTTGGGGTTTGGGGTTTGGGGTTTGGGGTTTGGGGTTTGGTTGTGGGGTTAGGGGTTTTGGGGTTTAGGGTTTAGGGGTTTAGGGCCTAGGGAAGCATCATGGCTTGAGGCTTGAGCCAGGCATCTCGTAGTTTCTCTGGCGTATGCCTCTTAGGGTTTAGGGATTTAGGGTTTAGGGATTTAGTGTTTAGGGTTTCGGGTTTAGGGTTTAGGGTTTAGGGTTTAGGGTTTAAGGCTCAGGGCGCAAATTAGCCTTAGAAGTGTGTAGCTGTTTGTAGCAGTAGCGCTCTCAAATTGCCCCTCAGCCCTAAGCCCTAGACCCGAAACCCTAAGCCCTAGACCCTAAGCCCTAGACCCGAAACCCTAAACCCTCAACCCTAAGCCCTAAATCCTGAAGCCGCTCTGAGAGGATGTCTGGGCCAAAGGGCACGAACCAGTGCAGCAACTGGCTGCTGATGGATGGTAGAAGCCTCATGGATCGTTCTCTACGTTAAGGTCCCTCTGGGGATCCCCTATAGAATACAGCACCCGTCTAGTAAGGACCCTCACCAAAAGGAACCCTAAACCCTAAACCCTAAACCGTAATTCGGAGAAGCACCCTGATGTGCAGCACTAGTCTCATAGAGCAAGATCCAGCTTCGTCACTCGGGCACTACTTGCTCAACTATCGATGGCTCCCTTTTGCTTCGAGGCGGGCATGTCTGTTAGGACGGTTAGGAAGTGCCTCTCTGCTTGCACGAACACCGTCCCAAGCCGTGCTTTTTAATGCAAACAAGCGGCCATGAGCAACGCAGAACGCTCGACGTTCTCAATTGGGTTCATGTTGTCTTGGATCACAGTCTCTGTCACCTTGGTCGACGTCGTCACGTTGCTTCTACAGCGCCAAATGTGGCAAAGTTCGTGATTGCGCAGTACCCTTGCAGATGTGGCAACCCCGCAACCAAAGTTGAGGGTTTTTTAGAGTGCAAGGGGCCGAGCATTACGTCTGCAGTCGTCGACTGGAAGAAGTAGCATGCCTGACCCATCCTTCATCCCGTGACCCAAAGGGCACAAATCCCTAAACCCTAACCCTAAACCCTAAACCCTAAACCCTAAACCCTAAACCCTAAACCCTAAACCCTAAACCCTAAACCCTAAACCCTAAACCACTGTCCATGTTCGGTGCTTGCGCTAGCGGAAAGACTGTGCTGGAAGGCTCATGGCTCATGCGCCTTCTACACTTCAGGCACCTCACTCAATCATGTGGAGGGTTTACGTTCTTGAGGGGGTACCTTGTTGGGGTCCTTAGAATCAGAGCCTACTATTATTTGGGGGGGTGTATTTTAGGGTCCCCTATTTTCGTAAACCGCATCTGTGTTCTTATCTGCAGACGCGATTCATTTCCGACAGTCTGGCTGCACGTCACACCAAGCCGATTCTGAAGCCAGGACGTCCAAACCCACCCTTGAAAACACTCACTGGGCTAAGAGGGAATTCGGGAATTGAAACTTGGGAAGCAGGGTCCTTGCACCCTCCTCCTGAACCCCTTAAGGGGAAACATAAGGACCCTCCATCCCAAGTTCCCCTAAACCCTAACCCTAAAGACCCAAACCCTAAACCCTAAACCCAAGAACCAGCAAGAAAAGTGCCCCCAAGCCGCCGTTTTGTCGAAGCAGTGTGTGGCCGAGACTACCACCTCCGGTGGGAAGTCTTATACTAGGGTTTAGGGCTTAGGGCTGAGGGCTTAGGGTTTAGGGTTCAGGGTTTAGGGTTTGGGGTTTAGGGCTTTGGGTAAGATGGACAGTAGCCAAAAAGGACAGGACCTGATCCAAGTAGCAGTAATTCATGCGTCAGACAGAAGTCATTGGCCCTCACACCATATTTGCGGCACACTCAAAAACCGCTGCGTCACAAGAGGCAAGAAACACATGTGGGCAACTGCAAATGCATACACATCTGCAAACGCGCACGCACATGTAGATGCGCGCGCGCGCGCGCGCGAATGTATATGTCTGCGTGTTGTACATACGCAGACATAAACAATATGCATCTATACACGATGATGTTGTAGTGCGATGTGGAAGAAACTCTTATGCACGACGTGCCCCAGTGGAGGCTATACTCCCCTTAGAACCTTTTTCAATTTCGTGCTTTTAATATCCTCTTGGGTTTTATATAAACAAAAAACCCCAAGGGGGATATAGGAGGACGTTACTTCACACTACGAGCCACTCAAATCCTGCGCAAAAGTGCCTCTGTCGTCGCAATTGGAGATTTCTGGCCCTCTCTACAGGGGCTTCCAAAAATGGGGGGGGGGGGGTTAGGGGGGGTAGGGGGTTAAGGGGGTTAGGGGGCTTAGGGGGTTTTAGGGGGTTTAGGGGGTTTAGGGGGTTTAGGGGGGTTTAGGGGGTTTAGGGGGTTTAGGGGGTTTAGGGGGTTTAGGGGGTTTAGCGGGGTTTAGGGGGGTTTAGGGGGTTTAGGGGGTTTGGGGGGTTTAGGGGGTTTAGGGTGTTTTTTTTCTAGGGCGCTTTTGCTGCGTAGTGCGCTTCGGCGCCAACTCGAAAGAGGAACTGCGAACCAGCTTGGCAATGTCAGCATTGGGGGAGTGCGGTCCGAGGATTCCTCTAGAGGCGGTGTGGTCGGGGAAGTACCAATGGCTCATGACTTCTGTCCAGTATGGGAACTGCATACCTCTACGCCGACCTTGGTTCAGGATTCTATTTTTGTACGGGGAGTTAAGTACCACATTATAAGTGGGATCCTGCATTTCTGGCTGGAACACTGCTACGAACCTTGTGTATTGCACCCAGTGCAGGCGACCGGAGGGTAGAGTGGGATGTCCCGCCTGCCTCCAAACCTCTTGATTGGGGATTCTAGAGCAGTAAGATGCTTTGATGCCTATTCGTCTAAGAAGTCTGAGATATTGAGCATCTATCCTGCGCAGCTGCGGTGTGGTCAGGGTAAGGGAATCTAGGTCGTAAAGAAGTACAGGGAGGAAGGTGGCTTGAAAAAATTTGACCTGCAGTCTATGTGTGAAGGCGGTCTCGAAGGGGGCCTTCCAGGAGATCTTACACCCTAAACATTTGACTTGCGGTGTGGTCTTGACTAGCGTCCCGTCGCTGAACTGCACATTTGGGGTTTCCCAGTCTGGGTGGGTTAGGAGTTCAGTTTTGTCCTGGTTGAGCTTCACACCTTGAGCTTCACACCATGCTCTGCTGCAATTGCCTCAAGGGTTCTTAAGATGTGAGTGAGCTGCGGTGTGGTTATGCCTAGAAGCAAGGTGTCATCAGCATATTCAAGATCGAATGTACGGAAACCTACTGACCAGGTGTTCGCGGGTTGACCTTGTTTTAGTCGCTCATTTTCAACATCGCCTAGAGGACCAAGACGAAGAGGTGTGGGCTAAGAGGACAGCCCTGCCGAATTCCGGACGAAACCTTTCCCTGGCTGAGAGCGCCGTTCATTCCCCTAGTCTGAAAGGTTGGGCTGGTGTCACCTCTAGCATGGTGTGGTCGAGCGAATCAAACGCCTGTTTCCAGCCCAAAAAAAAAGGCGCAGCTTTGCGCTAGCCATTTGTGACCATTCCATCGCTCTTCTGAGAACAAATAGTGGTTGCGCAGTGCAGCGGTGTGGTCTGAAGCCAGATTGTATTTGGGAGGATAGTCAAGCTTGCAACATGGACACATGTATCTTGTAGACTGCGTTAGGGAGGGATATTGGGCGGTAGTTTTCTGGGGCTATGTCGGCACCTTTCCCCTTGTAAATGGAAACGACGGTTGCTTCTACCCATTCTGGCGGCATGGTCCTGGCTAGCCAGACTCCATTATATAGATCACCTGAGACGTGCGACTACTTTCATGTAAATGTCCGAAGGGACGGTTGAATCAAAAGCGGTCGCGTCAAATGAGATAAAGCGCTTGTGATGGGAAATTTGACTCAGAGCGACATTGAAACCGTGAGCATTGATCGGCATGCCTAGCTTGATCGGCGTCTCGGACCACCGTTTTGGAAGCCTCTTGTCAGCGTCACGTGTGAACATCCCGTCGCGCAGGATGCTAGGAAGCCATGCGGCCGTGACCGTGCGAATGCCCGCTGTCGGTGAGGCTAGCTTGCTCTCTGATACGCGGTACTTCTTCACAAAGACGTGGTAGACGTCGGGATCGAAGTGACCTTCTCGGACTTGTTGAGTCGTGAGCTCGTCTTTGGCTCGCGGTCGCCAATTTTGTTGCCGATGAAGGGCAAGCCTGGAGAATAGGTACGCGGCAATGACCGGCGACATGATAAGTGGACACGATGTAGTTTTAGGGGGTTTAGGGTTTAGGGTTTGGGGGGAGGGGGGAGGGGGGGGGGGGGGGGGGGGGGGGGGGGGGGGGGGGGGGGGGGGGGATGCCCTTTTCGGGGTTCCAAATATATGGATGATCGTACTTTGGGCGGGGTATAGATCTACTGAATCAAGCGCCCAGGTCGCTTTTGGGATACACCCTCAAAATAACAGGGACGCCACAAAGGGACCATGATTTCGAGAACTGGCCGGCGGTCCGCGCTGGCTCTTCGGTTTTGGGGGTGTAGGGTTTAGGGTTTAGGGTTTAGGGCTTAGGGTTTAGGGTTTGGGGTTTGCGGTTTAGGGTTTGGGGTTTAGGGTTTAGGTTTTGGGTTTAGGGTTTAGGGTTTAGGGCCTTGCAAGCCCGAAGCAGTAGTTTCTGGATTGCAGGTTTAAGGGTTTGGGACGTTCCCCCTTATACTAACAGTCCTTAACATGGTACCCCCTCTTCAGGACTGCTGGTATAAGGGGGAACATCCCCGGTTTAGGACCGGGAAGCACTTCAGGGACCGTGGGGTTCAGGGCTTACGCTCCAGCCCGAATATCCAAATCCTAAGACTTGGGGTTCAGGGCTTCTGCTTCAGTTCTTCAATAGCCCAGGAATTGTAATAAGGGTACCCTGTTTTGAGATGGTTACTGAACAAGGGAACCCAGAACCAAAGTGTGAGGGGTACCACTGGGCTACCAAGAGAATGAAGCACCCTAAACCCCAGCCACTAGACCCTAAACCCTCAACCCTACTCCTTAACCCTAAACCCTAAACCCCAAACCCTAAACCCCAAACCCTAAACCCTAAACCCTAAACCCTAAACCCTCGGCCAAGGCACGTGAAGGCTGGCGTTCACCAGCGGCAAGGCCCCGGACTTCGTCAGCGCATCGAGGAGGTCAAAGGCCGCCTCCTTCTCCTGTGGGGCTTAGGGTTTAGGGTTTAGGGTTTAGGGTTTAGGGTTTAGGTTTTAGGGTTTAGGGTTTAGGGTTTAGGGTTTGGGGTTTGGGGTTTGGGGTTTGGGGTTTAGGGTTTGGGGTTTAGGGTTTCGGGGTTTGAGGTTCAGGGTTTACGGCTTGGGGGCTTCGGGATTAGGTCTTTGGCAGCCGCCAGCTTAGGGCTTCGGGGGTTCCCGAGCTGCTTGGGCCTAGTGAGGCATCGGGCGAAGGGCCCCGAACTCTACATTCAGCCTAAACCCTAAAACCCTAAAACCCTAAAACCCTAAAACCCTAACACCCTAAACCCGAAAACTCTAAACCCTAAACCTCCAAGTAATCTAGGAGTCAGAAGGGCTTGTTTACATGCTTCGTGGGGCTTGCGGTTCATGTCAGGGAATCTGTATGGGCGTTCCGAAAACAGGGGTACCCTTTTGGGGTTCCTACTATAAAATGATACTATTTTGGGTATATTCAGGGTACCCCCTGTTTTTGGAAATCCCTTTATCTCCTGAATAAGGATACCATGGTCGGCATCCTAGGCTCGACTTCAGGGGAAGCTTTGGGGCTTAGGGTTTAGGGTTTAGGGTTTGGAAGCCTTGAAACCTGAGCTGAAACTGTCCACCGTCCTTCTTCTGGTCGTCTTTCGCAAGAGCTTTCTCGCTTGGTTGCGCGAGGAGTGCCTTCTGCGACCTGCATGGCCATGACGTGATTACCCTGAGGACCGTCTCCCAGACCTAAACCCTAAATCCGTAAAACCCTAAACCCGGAAAACCCATGAGCATGCCCCCAATCCCCCGCAAGACTGAGCCCTCGAGACCTCTCTAAACCCTAAACCCTAAACCCTAAACCCTAAACCCTAAGCCCTAAACCCTAAACCCTAAAACCCTAAACCCTAAACCTAAACCCTAAGCGCTAAACCCTAAACGCTAAACCCTAAACCCTAAACCCCTGACTCGGCCTCTTGGTCCAAGTGTCTGCCCTAGGCGCAAGCAGCTGTGCTGGGGGAGGGTTTAGGGTTTAGGGTTAGGTTTTTTTGGGGTTTTAGGGTTTAGGGTTTAAAGGTTCAACCATGCAGCGCTCAAAAGTTCCAGACGCTGACGCCCCCTAAAGACAGTCGAGGCATAGTGCTTGCAACATCCTACGTAGTTTCTCCTCTTCAACTAGGAAACACAATAAACCCTACACCCTGAACCCTAAACCCTCAACCTTGAACCTAAACCCTGAACCCAACTCCTCGCAGTTTCTAGGGTTCTCCAAGGGCTCAACCATCAAATGAATGTTTCCCAACATGGGGGGTGCCAGCTTTTGGGGCTCCTATCAGAAGGAAGAAAGTATTTTGAGGATATACTCAGGGTTCCCCTCCTTCCAGGTTCATGGGTACTTTTTAACCCTAAACCCTAAACCCTAAACCCTAAACCCTAAACCCTAAACCCCAATTATAAATCTACTTATGATCTACTGAGGGACTTAGCCCCACATCTGCAGGCCCCCCAGAAGATAAAGCCCTCAAACCCCAAGCTCCCCCTAAAACCCTTAACCCTGAACCCTAAAGCCCTAGCCTCTTAGGGTTTAGGGTTTAGGGTTTAGGGTTTAGGGTTTAGGGTTTAGGGATGAGGGTTTAGGGTTTAGGGATGAGGGTTTAGGGTTTAGGGTGACCAAAAACCCAGCTGGGACACAGATCCAGGATGGCGGCTCGTAGCGCGCCCCCCGTTTCCAGCTGCTCAAAGCGCTGGTCCAGCTGCGTCGGGAGTTGCGTGTAGTCCCTGGTTGAGGGTTTAGGGTTAAGGGTTTTAGGGTTTAGGGTTTAGGGTTTAGGGTGTAGGGTTTCGGGTTTCGGGTTTAGGGTTTAGAGCGTCTTCAGAGTGAGCAGTGGGTTCAGGACTGGCTTGCCCACCCCTACCACCCGGAGTTCAAGATATCCCAGTTACGGTTTTTCACACAACCCAAAACCCATGGCAGTGTACATCATCTGCACAGCAAAACAAAAAACAGTAGTGAGAAGCATCATGCATGTGTAGAGGTTTCTGGTCATCATCAGCATCATTATGATGATGATGATGGTGATGATGATGATGATGATGGTGATGATGATGATGGTGATGATGATGATGATGATGATGAGGGAGGTTTTCGGCGGGGGAACCCCTGTACCCGTCTAGGTGCTTGCAACGAAAGTCATGCCCAAGAGAGTTCCATCCACAGTTGAACTTCGTCTTCGCATGCAAGG